GGAGGAGGAAGAGGAGGAGGAGGGGATGGTGGTGGTGCTCTAGTGAATACACAGTTGTTAACGCTAACAATGCGAATTTCGGCGGGCCGTTTCAGACAGACACGGCTACTGCTACCGTAGACCCCGCCCTGACCTGCTTCCTGGACAGTCTCCGTGCTTTTGACATCGTCCATCGAAATTCCTCGCAGTCGGTCAGGCCGCATGACGACATGCCATCAAACACACCCCCTTTGATCCAAGCGAAACGTGGGCCAAAGTCTGTGTAAAGGGAAGAATGACATCTTCGGCGTCTGCCGTAACTGTGTAATCTAAATGGTAGGAGGCACTCACCGATCGTTTTTACGGAACTCATTCGTTCCGCTGTGCCTTACGGGCTCTCTCTAGAGCCCAACAAGCAGCCGCACAGCGGCGCATGATATAGGCAATATGCTATTACGGACAAAGGCAAGGGAGACCGGAATGGCCATTTCTGGCTTATAAGCCGTCGTCAGCCGAGGTGTGGAACACCCGAGGCTCGAACTCACAACCTGTTCGTTGGAAGTCCACGCCTCTAAACACTGGGCCACGAGCCCGTTGCCCTGTGCGTATTAGACTCGTCTGATTTTGCCCAATCCCTGAGATGAAAACGCGATCAGTCCGCAGACAAATCTGAAAGCATACGAGGCTCCTGTATGCTTTCTCGCATCTCCGTAGAAAGGAGATGCGTGATACAGCTCGTGTGCCCAAATAACACAACTTTCCTGGCTGTACCCTGATGATGGTATTTGCGCCCCATTCTACGAAATCCTCTCTTCGACCATGTATCCAACGAGCGACCACACAGCTGCTCGCAAACAGAGCTCGACCTACGATAAACGGCTGTCCCACAGGTCTTCAGTCTGCCGCGTTGGCACACCAGCTGGTTCAACTTTGCTGGGAACTGCAATGAAGAACGGTCATTTGGTGATGTGTGATGAATCTCCGGCGGGCCGAATCAGGCATGAGGAATGCCATCAGATGCGTACGCAGGAGTTCACTAACTTAGCACAGGTGAGGCGCCTGGAGTCGAAATGAGATGTCTCAAACACCCCGCCGACCCCGACCTGTCCTTCAAGACCCCTCATGCTCTAGTTGAGATGTCAATTACCGTGCACAAACATGCATGCAGCTCACTCGTCTCAACATGGGCGTAGCCCACGCTGCTGTTACAGAGTGCAGGGGTCGGTTTCTTCGCTCTGTCGCGACGCGGCAAGGGTCAAACAAACAGGGTCATAATGCAACCACTTACAACCTCCCAATACGCACAGGCAGGTACACTTACGCACGAGGAGCACGCAGCAGTGACTCATGTGCTAATTTGTTCGCGTGCGGCGGACTTGCGCAGCGCCTATCTGACCTCACTAATCTCACGCTCATCATGTTCCGATGGCAAGACAGCCCACACAGAGGCTTACCTGGGTTCTCAATACGTCTGTAGTGGTATGGGTTAATGCAGACCTCATCACGCTTGGCTTGAAACGAGTAGTTGCAATTCTCCACAGGCCGCAGTTCGTGTTGTGTGTGCAGATCGGGCCATCTCCAAAGTTGGCAGTAGAAGACATGTGGCAGGCCCTTCTTCTGTGCCACCTGCAATGCAGAGACGGAAGCGTCGCCGGTCAGGTCAATTACAAGGGCCGGGAGGAGGGGGAAGGGGAGGGGGAGGAGGAGGAGGAGGAGGAGGAGGAGGGGGAGGAGGGGAGGAGGAGGAGGAGGATGAAGAAGAAGAAGAAGAAGAAGAAGAAGAAGAAGAAGAAGAGTCTAGACTGCTGAAAGACATGTGCTCACGACTGCACATACACGCCTTAGATAGTAGTACTGAAAACGGAAACGCCCATCAGAGACGCCACAGTGAACGCTGGTAGGCGCACTGGTGAGTGACAGGGCATCAGAGAGACGTACGTTCGAGTTTTTAGGCAGTAGTTGTGCCATGAGTAAGCTTGAAGTGTGCTTATTAACCCTTCCACATTCTCACCGCATCCTCACTAGTCGCATGCCCTCTCACCTAGACTGTTGAAAGAAAAAGAAACTAGGTAATAGGAGGCTCTTCCATCACACGGTCACCTAATCACCCGAAAGCGAACACGGGTTTGAGGGGTAAGAGGGGAGTTAAAGTTATGTACTAGGCTCCAGTCAGGGGAGTCATGGTCCGCCCACATAAGTGAGTGTCATAAAAGTCACATTAAGGAGGAACTACTGCAATCCGACCCAGAGTCTTGGGCAGGACTGGGTTGCTACGTCAGTTGGAAGCCTCCTAAACCACAACTGTTGGCACGTTAGACTGTGTATAGTGAGACGCCACCTGCGCTCTACCCCGCCTCCGGTCCCCTTGACTCGGTCTTGACGCCGTGTCAAGGTGGGGAATGTGGAGGAGAGAGTGCGGCAGATGCTGCGCAAGTCTACATTCAGTATGGACTAATTCACACGCAATTCACCGTCCCTGCTTCGCCCTTTTGTGCAGCACACAGTAGACACCGTCGGAATCGACGGTCGAACCGTTACAGTGAGATGTGTGCTGATTTGCCGTGAAGATTTATCCCTCGTTAGTATGGACTGCATTCTTCCCTACGTACCTCGTGCATCAGTCGAAGCCCCCGAGCCCGTCTACTAGCTGGTGATGGAACGGGGCGTAGGGGCCGACAATAAATGGAAGCCCCCGTCTACTGGGTGTCACATGCACGTATGATAGTACCGACAAAGCTCAATAAACGCGCGCAACGAGTCAATGTGGCCTCGTTGTAGCCCGGCGTAATTGCAGCGCAACCGGTATCGGAGGGCCGTGCATAAAGTAGGAATGGTAAATAACTAAATTCAACAGTACTATGATAACAGGGTGACAGACTGTTGGTCTTAATGTCTCCTGTGACATTGATATGCTCCAAAAGATGTCTGTATCAAAGATCCCTTACGAAAGACTTTCAGAGCTGACAACCTCGTCCACAGTTAACGTGTGAAGCCCAGATTCGGAGCAAATATCTGCTGAAAATGACAGCCAACGTTACAGCTGACTCAACATTGTGAGGTGTGCATCAGATTGCCTTCGAAACATGGCTATTCCTACTTCCGGGGACGTTACTAAAAACGCAGGGAAGAATGGAATGGACTCTTCTGGTTTATCGGTCTTGCCCAACCAGCCTCATCCCCAAACCCAAGTCGAGACGACCTTCGACCTCAACCAGGGTTCATCTTTTCAAAAGTCCAACGTGACATCTATAAGCAACGAAGCCACATCCGGAGATAGCGGATGGTGAACCACAGATGGCGATGTGCACGGAGGGGGGGGGGGCGAGGATGCGTACTGGAGCCTGACAGGTAGGCCATTCCGGACTTCGTGATTTACGTGCGATAATCAGATGCGCAGCAAGTTAACCAGCAAACTGAATTCCGGAGGCTGATAGCAGAAAGAAAAAGATCCCAGTCACGACTGTCAGAGAGAGATTGGTAAACCAAAATACTGATGGTTGCGGGGGAGAGAGAGGATGAACAGAGTAGCCTGCAAGGCGGTGTCGTAACCCGACGCAATATTCGCTTAGCAAACACAACGCGCAATAACGACGGTTAAGTGGAGAATGCGGCCTAATGATTAGCACTCTAGGTAGGAAGATAGGGCGACGAAAAGGGTGCCTGATTCCTGTTGTTCGAGTTGTTTGGATATTGAAAAAGGCCTGAAAATTCAAGGACGGTTAGTACAGTATTTTCGGCAACGGTAGGTTGTGCAACTCCACCTCTCAACTAAATTTAACTGTCTTATTATTGTTTAGGAAAGGGACTGTGCACAAGTATTCTCGAAAAAAATAAGTCAGGCGTACGCGCTCGAGAACAGAAATTGTTCAGAGATATCAAGAAAGCAGAGCGTTTGTGTTCCAACCGAGGCAAAATAAACCAAAACACAACCGACGATCTTTGCAGCACGCAGAGCAAGGTGAGTACCGACATGGCACAAAAAGGGTTAACTACTCTTCCGGAAAGAATAAGTAAGTCATGGCGTAAGTAATCGACAACGAAAGGCAATGCAATTGCATTGGGGAAATAAAAGTAAGACAAAGAGGGGAGGAGGAGGAGGAGGAGGAGGAGAGAGGGGGAGAGAGAAAATCATGCCACAATTTGCCACTAAAAAGTCAGACTGAAGCAACTCGGTGCAAGCGGTTATATCAAAGTGCTAGATAACACACAAAGGGGAATTTCCTGAGGCTACGAATGAATGAAGAGAACAAGGCCTTCTAAAATAAATATAGTAATCACCTACACGCTAAACGAAGTGGGTTTACACAACCTATCCTTACAGTATTTTCAGATACGCCCCCCCCCTCTCAACACCTCAGAAGCTCACTGTGGCGTTAAACCAAATTCGCTCACCCCCCGGCGAAACCAACTTCTGCAGAGATGGAGATTTTTCAAGTGCTACCCAGCGCGAACAAAACCCTGTACACGATTTTCTATGGTAGAAGTTGGCTAAGCCCTGCCGATGCACAAGTCCAGCGCAAGAGGAGGGGGAGGGGGGTAAGCAGTAAGCTGACTCAGACGCTCTGGCGAGGTCAGCCGTGGGCCAGCCCTCACTATGTCATCACGACAATGTCCCCCCTCACCCGCACAGCTAAGGGCTTAAAAAGGCGACTCGGCGAGACAGTTAGACCCTATTCCTGGTCAGACCCGGCTTCATATGACTTTCACAGGGCTTCCAGCCTGACGCCAGGCGTCGTCCCGCTACGATCAACGACAGCCACGTAGTCAAACGAGCATGACGAAACGCCCCGATTTTTGTGGCACAGAACAGACTCACGTAAGTTAAAACAAGTACGTCGGCGCTTTTGGTGAATATATTGAGAAATAGGGCGAACCTAGAAGTCTACCGAACCCCAGAGCCAATCTTTCAAACAGACAGAACTGCCTGGTCAACGGGTAGGGAGGAGGGGGGCGCTGAAAAAGTAAGAAAGAAATATATGAAAAGCTACTGTACGTTAAAACTTGCTAAACATCCACCTAAGCCCTCGTACATAACCTACGTACCAAAGCGTAGACGGTAAACAGGAGACCGAGGTTAATTGCGACCTTTCCTGAAACCTCTACAATCCCATATACTCCTACGATATGGGTAACACACATTCTTCTGACATTTCTTCGATGAGCGCAGACATTTTATTCGGTTTCCGAGAAAAAAATGACGCAAACTCCTTTTAAAACGCGGCTAAAATATAGAATTACTTGATTTGGAATAAAAAAAATGTGATTTGCAACCTCCTGGACGGCTTGCAAAAGTATGTCGGGTTTAATGCTCGCCTAACTATTGGGTCCGTGCGTGATGGACTGCATAGTCGAAATGCATTCCAAAGTTGCATGAATTCACAGATGAGGAAACAGGTTTCAGCGACTACGCGTACCAAGTAAGTGAAGGGCGTTTGAGTCTGCACAAGGTGAGTCCTCGATCAAAAAATATGGGAACCGTGCAACCCTGATGAGGTACAGTTTCCCACGAAACTACAAGCCAAAACGACGATCCCTCGAATGTCTGTGAGAAGACTAATTAACTTTGTTCAGACCTTAAAAATGGAATTTGAAAAAGCATAATCGAAAAGCCAACAGGCCATATTGCAATCACCACGCAACCGGATGTTAAAAAAGTCGCAAAATGACTCGGTTAAAGACAAGCGAGATATAAGTGCGACCTTAGCGTGGCGGAACGCGCAGGGAGTCGTATTTGCCAGCTGATCCAAAGGGACAAATATTAGTGATTCGGACAATGCAAGCAACTCCGAGGGTTGAACATGCTAACAACCGAAAAAGATGCAGCAACTGCCGACGCCGACAGAGCGATGACTGGGCTGTACAGGAAACTGGGTAATATTTTAAATTCAGAGTAAGAGTCTGAAAAACATCAGATAAATATGGCTACTATCACGACGATTGACCTTTATTATCCTGCCTCCAGCTCATGCCCTGGGATACGAATACTCATTTCCCTCTAGCATAACATCGAAAAGCCCGCCGAATGAGCGATCAGGGCACGTTTTTCATCCGAAAATAAACTAGCCTCTCCTGTGCTGTGTTGGCAAAAAACTTTCAGAAGGCAATGAAACCGGACGCAGGAAGTTCCTAGGAGGGCCGCTAAAAAGCAGACACTATGGAAGGTGAATCGCAATACCACTAAGCCAGCAATACGATCCCAGGCTAATTCTAATACCTTCACACGCCGATTCTTCATCAGAAATATTTCCAACCCCTTAAAATAACAACATAGAGAAGAGGCGGCTTCATAAATAGTAGGCAGTCTCTGTTGTTTTCAGATAACTAAAAGGAGAAATATTCCTGGGCGAAATAGACAAGCAGTCAGGTGTAGACAGTCAGGCTTTTTTCGGACGTTTTTCACTAAAAAAAGACGTCCGCCCAAGTATGTATCATTTTAATATCCTGCTGACAACGCATGCCAGTTGTTGCAGATATTTTGAGCGATTTGAGACGTCTTTTAGTAGGGACACGAAGAAGAACGTCTTCAGGTGGCATGCACATACTGCAGGTAGGAAACCCCAGCATCAGAGGTTCTGAACGCTGACGCAATTTGCGACAGGTAGGTCATCAAATAAAATTTTTGACATATTTTTTTCTAGAAAAAACACAGGGGAGAACGCAACTCCTGAAACTTGATGGCCGACAACTTGATGGTCAGGCCGGGACACCAGAAAGATGTGCATTTAACTTACTAGCTCAATGCGTTCTGAAAAGGTTTTTTCCCATACAGAGGGGGTTACAATTGTTGGACGGAAATCAACGCACTCTTA